AGGGTTCAGCCTCCTGATGAGTCGGTGAAACTCCGACGAAACAGTTTGTCACAGCCCCTCGTTTGTTGTCCTCTTCTCCCTCTCTGCCTACGGTTTACCGGGCAGTTCTATTTAACGATATATAGATATATATATTTAAAAGTCTCAGAACACTCTGAAAAAATATATGTTGTGTAAAATAATAATACAAACAACTTTGTCTGGGAGGTATGCTCAAATTCGTAACCAAACTCGAGTTTAAAATAAAAAGTTAAAAAAACCTATATTTTTCTCCCTTTTCAATATGTTGGAACGAACATGTTCGGGAGGGGTTCGGCTGAACACGCGAACGTGTTTGGATGTTCGGAAAATCTCTGAACATGTTCCGTGTGCTACACAGGATCTTGGCTTGCTCAGTAGGCTTCATGCCTGAGCAGCACCGAGTAGGTGCTGGGTTCAAAATCCGCTGCTGTCATTTCAGTGGCCTGAGGTAGGCAGGCCGAGGTCAGAATAACGCTGGGCGGTGCGGGGGTGAGTAGTGCCACCCTGTAACGCGCAGTTATGCGGGAGCACAAGGCCTGGTAGAGAGATCTGGGAAAGTGGCCCCGAGTCGGCACCAGGCGTGGTGCCAAGTATGTGGTGGAAAAAGGCCTGCTTAGGTCCTACTAGGTAACTGGTTGGGACCCACCCAATAAACGAATTCTAAGGTTGAATTCTCGTCAGTATGATATCAGCTGACATTCACAACAGCTTTCTTTTTTGTTCTGTTTTTTGTGAATACCTTTTGACTATACGTTACGCATTTGGTTTGAATCTATGTTTACTTCAGCGATGACGATCTGATGGGATCAGATGACTTGGACCTGCTAGATGCAGCAGATGAAGATTCCGAAAGCGAAGAAGATGGAAGTTATGGTGAACGTGTTGATGGCGACCGAACAGTCTCTATTACCCTCTTGCGTGAAAAAATGTTCAGTCAAGGGGGTATGCGTCCAGTGGATGTCGGCCAAGGAATATCAGCGTTGGGCGTTGCTCCGCCCATGCAATCCAATCAGGTCCATGGAAGATATGCACAAGTCGGTGACACAGGATTGGAGGGCAATGTGATCGGCAACAAAGTCTCCATGGCAGCTGATGTAGGTATTGATGCAATAGGTGGACAGGTGGAGAAAGGGGGTGACGGTGGCAGCTGCAATAGTGATGATTATTCTGTCGAGGGGGTAAGGATGGAAGATACCTTCACCCCAAGCAGGGAAAGTGACTTGTTCACTGATGAGCAGCAGCATTGTGGAGAGGGTGCAGGTAGGCTGGAGGATATGCTGACTGGGTATGCGACCGTAAGAGTGAAAAAGAGCAAAGCGGTTGCCGCAAGCAATAGAAGTAGTGATGCCTCGGATGAACTAGCTGCGGTTAATGAGATTAAGAGGGAGGTGAAAATGCATGCCATGGAATTTGCGTCGAGGATTGCCGCCAAAAGAGAGTTACCATCGCTACTAGCTAAGCGTGCTGATGGGGCAGCATGCTCTACTTTGTCTTTTCGCCCATTGTCTAAACAACGCCAAGGAGACCAGCGGGCTGAGGTGGATAGGGATAGTAAGGAGAGGAAGGATGCCAAGAACGCAGACTCCGGTTATATTGATGATCGTGGGAGTGATAGTGTATCTATGTATGGCAGTGGGAGCTGGAAGGAATTAACTGGCAAGGATGAGTCTACAACAGTGTCGTTTCCGGCTCTAGATGCTGCGATGGCAGGTTACACGGCTGTTGGATTTATGGGTCTAAGAAGGGATGGGGAAGCAGAGCAGCAGTTGCCGCAGCAGCGTCATGTCGGGGCTGCTAAGTCAGACCATGCTTATACAATGCCTGTACAACAGCAGTCGAGGTTGACGAATCGGGCTGTACACCCCGATGGTGAGGGGAAGGAGGCTTCTTCTTCAATGCTTCGTGAAGAGGAAGCAGATGGAACGTGTAATGACTGGTCTCATCCTGTTTCCACCACTGCCATGGATGACGGGTGCGCACGGGCTCTGGTGCCTGTGTTGGATGCTGTCGATGCTGACTTCACTGATTGTGTGGGTTCTGGTTTTGTTGGAGGCCGTGAAGGGTGTACCACAGAAGAGGAGGAATTGCAGCTCCAGTTGGAGTCAGCAACGAGTAAGAACAAAGATGATGAGCAAGCTGCCGGTGTTCGCGATCCCTATTGCGGCGGGGATGATGGTGTTGGCAGTGGTAGAAACAAGGATCATGTTACGACGGGGCGCAATGCTGCGGGTGCGGTTCAGACAGCTGTCGCACTTGCACCTGACAACGGGCGGGAGGACACCGAGGAGAAGCGTAAGCAGTTTCATGCAGGGCCATCTGGAAGTACTTCAAGATATCTGCCGTCAGCGCTGACAAACGGGGTTTTGAACTCTGATGGAAAGGGAAAGAAGGCTTCTTCAAAGCTGAGTGAAGAGCTAGTGGATACAACTTGTGACCTTTCTCATCACGATGCAAGAAGAGCTTTGGTGCCTTCATTCAATGATAGTGTAGCTGAGAACACTGCTCCCGTGTCAGGTCTTAGACCGGTTGAAGACTGGAGGAATGAGGCAGAAGCCTCTCATCTGATAAATGCAAGTGCGTCCTATCGGGGTAACCGTCATCAATCACCTGCTAAGCAGCCTGTTTATTGTGCTGATATGAAGTCTGCGGCTCCCTGTGGCTCCGATTCTGTTGAAGAGATGGCTGAAACATGTGCTTATTCTGCCTATGGCGATTTCACACGCCCTCTGATGCCGTCACTGGGTACTGTGGATGACGATGCCACTAATTTTGGGAGGCCTGATCTCCTCAGAGACAGAAGGAATGAGGCAGAAGCCTCTCATCTGATAAATGCAAGTGCGTCCTCTCGGGGTAAACCCCATCAATCACCCACTAAGCAGCCTGTTTGTTGTGCTGAGATGAAGTCTGCGGCTCCCTGTGGCTCGGACTCAGCTGAAGAGAGGGCTGAAACATGTGCTTATTCTGCCTATGGCGATTTCACACGCCCTCTGATGCCATCACTGGATAATGTGGATGACAATGCCAC